CCTTTTCTTGCAATTATGTCTAGGTTACCCCCTTTTTTTTCGAATCTCGCCCCGACTACATTTCGATTCCTAAAACTGAGCAATCCTCTTTCATGTTATTTTTTTCGCCGCATCTGATCTCTTTCATCAGTCAATGCCGGGCGGTTTTTATATGATTCAATCAGACCTCCCCCTCTCCTCCATCGGTTATGTTCACTTGACACATCCTGATCATTCAGATTACTGATAGTGTTAGTGGTGAGGCGTGAATGATCGATTATCGATTTTTTCTTATTTGAAGCTACGGTAAAGAATCGATTATTAAGGTGTTCGCTGCGGACACCCTGTTCATCGATCCTTATTCATAGGTTTAATTGACAGATCAATCGATATAGCGCAAAGCACTCCACGCCACTGGATAGTTTGTTGAATGGGCCTGTTGCAAACTTTTGCTAGAGTAAAACTAAGAAATGTTTCCTACAGATAATGCCTCAAAAATCACGATGAGCGCATCGGCAAAGTATGAAATGCACTCATAACTTCACAATCTGCGTAAGAAATTTGCGATTTTTTGAGCTTCCCGCTTCGAAAACGATTACGATACTACGGTACAGGTGAACATTTTGTTAGAGGAGTCGTTCCATTGGCGGCAATACTCATCATGGCCGATGCCAGTCCACCGAAACACGTATGATGGGACGAGATAACACCTGAACAGGACTAAACCAGATAACAATCGGCGTGTTTACGTTCATATTTTCCTCGCCCGCCTTAATTGACCTTGAGTTCTCCTCGAATTACGCGAGGAACTGCGCAAGCGTCGGCCATGATGAATATTGCCGACGATGGAGTGACTCCTCTAACAAAATGTTCACCTGTGCCGTAGTATCGTTTTTGAAGCGGGAAGCTTAAAATAAGCTTAAGTCTATTACGCAGCAGAATTATTACAGAACAATGAAGCAGTACAGCGTACCTCAAACGCGTTGCTGTTGATGCAAATGTTTTTCGACACTTGAACCTATGTGTATTGGGGCGAAGGAGACTTAGTGGTAAAGAAATTAACAGCATAAGGCCCTGCATATCCGTACTTGTCTGCAAATATCCGGTTTGAAAAATTGTACCTGGGCACGATGTCTCTGCGAGAAAAATGGAAATGTATAAGTGTAATATCTTACGGACAAAATCAATCAGAATCTCAAGATAAAGACGGAAATTTGAATACAGATAATATATTATTTGAATGTTTTACATGAACGTTTTTAATTCTCTATCATTTTATCATAAACTTAACTTTAAATAAGGTGTATTCATATTATTTTCGATTGTTGTAAGTCGATTTTCACCGCAAAAATCCTAATAACATTATCTAACTTATTTCTTCATTCAGAAAAAATTTTGCAAAAATGTAATCGTAAATCAAGACTTTGATCAATATTAGCCTATCGCTTTTTGGCAAATAAAGCACCTATTAATGGCAATTTGATCCCAGGAATTAATGAATGCCAAATCTTGTGTCAAAAAAAGGAGAACTTCAAAATCAAATTAGAGAAGACACAAAGCGATACTGCAAAATCTTGTAGGAGGTGTAAGAAATGTATAAATCTAAATGTATTAAATTAGTGACATATAATCATAATTAAATTAAAATTATAATTACCCCACATCAATGTGTTTTTCTTTGTAGATCATCTTCCCACATGGTTGACGGTAAACTATGTACACATACCGATGCAAACCTATAAAAAAGACGTGTGTATTTAAATAACTTAAAATTACCAAATATTCATTCAATGTGAGATTATTTATGATTTTGATTCCAATACGGTAAAACCAACAAATATTTTTCGTTTCTGTACCATTTGATAGCATCTAGTTTTATACATTGTAAATATTACCAAAATGTCACAGAGATTTAGATTTCTTGGTACTGCTTCCTCTCGAAACATGACATGACATGTATACCTTCGTGGTTGCCCTAGTAGCAGAGTTATATAAAAAATTTGTTTTTAAAAGTATAAACCGTAAATAACCACAAGCTAAAGAATATTCATTGTTTATGTAATGGATGTAAAGTTTTTTAGTTAAAAGTTTACTAAAAAACTTATTTTATTATGTAACCCTTAGTATAAAAGTTATATAACCAAATTCAAAGAGTGTATAAAAATGAATTTTCATTATTCTTCCTGGCTGGTAGCGCACTCTAGTTATGAAGTGTGCA